GTGGACACGTGGGTAGTGAGTGAGTGTGGGTCACAGAATAGGTGGTGCGGTGAGAGCAGAGGTGCTACTCTGGGATTGGGAAAGGCTGGAGCAGAGCCCCAGTGCCCAGCCAGCCATCCCTTGGAGGAACAAGGTCCCCTCCTGCCTGTTCTGGCACAGCCTGAACAGAGCCAGGCTAGCTTTTTCCTACACTCCTAATAAAACTCGCTTTAAAACAATGGTGAGAGCGGTTCCAGTTTTCCCACGTTTTTCCCTACAGAAGGATTGGGCAAGCTCTCCCTTCTCTGAGAATCTAGGGGATGGAGTGAGCTGGAAAAACTTGAAGGCAGGTCTGGTCCCAGGAAATCCTAGCAGTTGCCACTCGGGGTCAGCCTCTGTAATTTGCCTCCAGCCTAAACCTGGTTACTATTTCAGCTGTGATGGCAGTGGTGGAAACTCCCCTAATGATTTCTGTGTGCCATGCTCTGAATTTCCTGATCATGTAACAGTGGTTGTCACACTTCATGGGACTGAATCTCAAAACCACCATCTGCTTAGTTATGTGACCTTGAGCACATTACTTAAACTCTCTGTGCCTCAGTTCTTCATTTGAAACATGGGGATAATGAGATCTTTGCCATTGAGTTCTCATGATTAAAAAAAGCTCGTAAAGTGCCTGGAAGAGTGTCACATTGTCAATGACCAATAAATACTAGCTAATGTTTATTGGGTACTTTCTTACTAGGAACCAGGTACTGCTTGTGTTTTACTTGTATCAGAGAGGCTGCTTTTTTATCCAGTGTCTGACACAAAGTAGGTACACAAGAAATGTCTGATGGTTGACTTTGTTAGGCATCTTCTATTATTTCTCTTCAATTTCTCAACAGCCTTATGAAAAAAAGGGAGTAGTTCTCCATTTTATCAATAAAGAAACTGGATGCTCAGAGAGGTGAAGTAACATGTCCAAGATCACACAGTTAACATATGGCAGAGCTGGGATTGTAGTCCAGGTCTGCCTGAGCCGGGAGCCCATGCTTTTCCCACTCTGGCCCATGCTGTCTTCTCAGGAAGTGCCCTGTCATGGATCATTGGACTAGTTTAACAGCAGCCTAATTAGAAGTCATCAGGCTTGGCTTGGATAGTCCAACGGGCACCCAGGAATTAAAGTTAAATTAAGATGTAATTGGAAGTTGAAATTGGAAAATAATTACTCTTAGAACATATGGTTATGAGAGTTCCAGGGGGAATATATTGAACCGTAGTTGAAACAGACGCAGGGACTGAAGATGGGGATATCAGGAGCATCAGAAGAAGAGCCATGAGTTGAATAGGCTGCAGCTGGCCAGAGCAGAAGGTGCTGACTGCCTGGTGCAGTCCTTTCACTTTGCAGCTGGGGAAACTGAGGCCCAGAAAGAGGAAGGCACTTGCCCAAGGCCAGACGTCCAGCTAGTGGAACAGCCAGGCATGGAGATCAGAGCTCATAACTCCAAGTCCAGTGCTCCTCCTGACGCTGCTTCTCATTTAACCTTGACACAGGTGACAAAGGAGCAGCAGCATGAATGTGTGAGTGACAGATATTTAAATAAATTAGAGAAAATATAAACTTGTACCAGGGGCTGTGTGGGGAGATTTCTTTCACCAGAAGCTGTTAAGTCTGTTCCTTCTGTCACTGGGATCCTCCACTCTCCCAGTTAACTCTTGGCCTCTTGGCTGGAGGGGTATTGCATTTGAGTCATCCTCAGGCACAGCAAATTGCCAGGTGGTCCTGGGTGGGTTGGGTACAACCCCCAAGCTCTGTGACACAGGGAGAAGGTCCATGCAGCTGCCAGAGGGACTCAGGAGATGCAGAGGGTCTACCAGCTCCATCCATGAAAGTGAAGCTTTACCCAGAGGAGGAGACCCCAGCTCTGATTTGCCCTGTAATGCACTCATCCCCGCCGTACTCTAAGGTCATCAAACTCTACTCTTTACCATACTTCAAAGAGCTTGCATCTCACTGCCTCTGGGCTGCTGCACATTCTGTTCTATCTGGAATACCCAATCTCTTTTTTGATTATGAAATTTCTCTCTGTCCTTGAGTATGCACCCCGATGCTGCCTCTTCCCTAGGTCTCCAGGCAGAATTGGTCTGAGGCCCAGATAACCTTGTACTGAAGGTAAGGGCTCTATCCCCTTCCTTTTTGGGAGGGAGCAGAGCTAGAAGCTCTCACACTCCTTTTCTTTGCTCACTCCTTAGCCCTGCTTTTTCCTCTGTCCACACTCATTCATGGTAATCTCACCAGGCTTATGCCTTAAATTCTCTCTCTGTGATGGATCCTTCCAGCCAGGCCTCTGCTAGGACCCATCCAAGAGTCCGCTTGACATCTCCACCTCAGTGTGTGACAGGTAACTTGGATTTAACATGTGCACATTTCTAGTTTTCCCTCCCCAGCACCTGCAGCCTTCCCCAGTTCAGTTGGTGGCAATTTCACTTTTCCAGCTGCTCCAATTCAGAACTTTGATGTTGTCTCTGACTTCTCTCTTACACCCCATGTCCATACTGTCAGCAAATCCCACCAACTTTACCTTCATTTTTGGAATTCTGACATACACCCCTTTTTTTTTAACCACTTCCACTCCTACCAACATGGTCCAAGCCTCCATCATCTCCTGCCTGTATTACTGCAAGAGCCTCCTCCCTCGTCCCCCGGCCTCCATCCTCACTACTTCTGTTTATTTCAACACATTAGCCAGAGTGGGCATGTCCTCCATCTGCTCATGGTCCTGCATAACCTGCACCTTCCCCGTAATTTTCTGACCTCACTCCTGCCTCTCCCCTTCTCTTGCTTGCTCACTTCTAGCCTCTCTGGCCTCCTTTAAAAATGTTCCGGCTTCCTTCATTTCTTTCAAGTCTTTGCACTAATGTCCCCTCAGTGAGGCCTACCTGGATCACTCTATTTAAAATTGCAAAAACCTCCAACTCCTAATCTTTTTCCATAGGCTTTGTGACATCTATGATATGTAATACACTTACCCTTTTTATTGCTTATCTCCTACCAATAGAATGTAAGGCCCACAAGGGACAGGGTTTTTATTTTGTTCAGTGATAGAGCCAAAGAATGGAGATGAGTGTCTGGCACATAGTAGGTGCTCAGTAAATTTCTATTTAATTGAATTGGATACAGGAAATTGGATGGGAGCAAATGAAAGCCAGCCATTCACCTTATGGTCAGTTTGTACTTCTGAGCTCTGGACTCAGCCTTAGGTAAATTTCTCACATAGTTAGCTGTTGCTGGTCTCTCTGGCCTCAGTTTCCCTGCCTTTTACCCTTCTCTGCCTCACTGGAACCCTGAGTCTCCACCATAGAAGAAATGCTCAGTGGCAACAGGGTAAAGTCAGAGATTCAAGTGAATGGAGCAGGAAGCAGGAAACCACACTCTAGCTTGGCCCTTCTCTGGATGTGCTAGCCTGCCCTCTCTGTGCCTGAGCTTCCTCATCTTTGAATGAGGGGTGCCACCAGGCCTTTCTGATTCTGGTATCTTCTGATCTCAGGGGAGATGCCGGTGAAGTGCTCTGATCTTCTGAGCTCGGAGCAGGGCATGGATGCTCTGTCTTGTCATTCCTGCGGGGAAGGCTTTTTCTTGCAGGCTCATGCCTCAGACACCCAGTGTAACCTTTCTCGAGGAGATGGTGCCCACAGATCAATAGCTTGATCGGATGAAGGATGGGGTGGTGGTGGTGGTGATGCAGCCAAGATGATGCTCGTTTTTCACTGTCTCTCTGTCAGGCCTCGTGGTGCCCTTGTGAAATACCACCTTTTAAAGATGAGAAATGAGGATCCCCACCCCAAGGAATAATATCATGCCAACACCTGACATCTGATGCTGAGATCTTGAAGCTAATGTCACATAATATATGAGTGGAGAGCAAGGCTTATACCAGGGTTGTGGGATAGGCAAAGACTGACTTTATTAGAGCAATAATAGCTACTGTTTATTGAGTACCCCTATGCAAAGGCCTGCTGCTAAGCACTCTTAATATATTATATATATTTTAAATTTCATAATGACCTCCTGGGAGTAGGAGAGTACCCATTTTACAGAAGAGGTAACTGAGGCTGGGTTTCATACTTCGTAAGTGGCTGAGGCAGGATTTGAACCCAGATCAGCATGCCTCCAAAAGCTCACTCTGTAACTCTGTATTAACAGGTAGCTGAACTTGGCTGTTGAAGCTCCAAACAGTTGTTTGTTTGCTTTTTACCAATTTGAACAGGTATTTTTCTAGAGTAGGTTGTATATTTGATTGCCTACAGAAACAAGGAGTTGGAAAGTCCCTCATTATATCTTGAAGACTCTGGGTTATTATCTGGATGTCAGTGGCTGGCCTTGTTGTTTATGGGGATGAATTAGGTGTAGGTTAGAGGGTTGATGCCCTGGGGGCTTTAGTCTCTAAGGTCTTGACATTGGTGCCTCTTCTCCCTCTTCCTCTCTGTCAGCCGTCACATCTTACAGCTGGCAGTGCTCCTATTCTAACTCAGTTAGAACTCCCCCTGCCCTCCTCATTAACTGTGCACTGGGAAACCAGAGAGCCAAGTTCATTAGATTTATGGGCAAAGCCCAAGTAAAGAGGTTCTGAAATCAGGCCCTTTCAGGAACGGAGTGCATGGGTTTTATATACCTGTATTATTGCTGCTCCAGACTATTTTATTTCCTTTGGGGCCTCAAAGGATGTACACAGTCCTGCCAGTTTGGGGGGGATGATACTGACTTTGGCCTCAGACATATTGAAATTGGGGTTCCTATCAGAGCTGTGCTGGGTCAGTACACAGCCACCACCCACATGTGGCTGCCCACCGCTCGAAATGCAACCAGTCTGAATTGCGAAGTACTGTTAAACATAAAATGCACATGCAGGTTTGAGGACTTTGTATGAAAAAGAATGTCAAATATCTCATTAGTAAGTTTCATACATTTATTACATGTTGATCCAAACATGATTCATTGATTACATTATGATGTCCAAAATGATAAAATTCTGGTTATATAAAGTCAAAAATGTATTGCTGAAATTAAGTTCACCTGTTTCTTTTTTACTTTTTAACGTGGCTATGAGAAAAATTTAAATTACACATGTAATGATAAATGTGGCTCACATTGTATTTCTGTCAGACAGACATAGATTAGAGATGGCTGGGGTTAGATGCTGCAGGGATTTAACTGGGAGTCAAATGCAGGGGGGAGAAGAGTTTGCTGATAGACCCCAGGCCCTCTGCTCCATCTTGCTTCTGTCACACGCCAGGCTGTCATTCTGAGGCTGATCTGTGTCAAACCCCAGCCCTAGTGGGGATGGAACTAGAGATGAGACTGGCTGAAGGGGAGACTCATGCATCCTAATCCATGGGCTGGGATGCCAGGCAGTGCTTTTGAAGCCAAGCTGTCAGGATAGAGTTGTATCCCTGGAAACTGGCATTCCTCATGCTACCCACAGTCTGCCCAGGGGCTTGGAGGCACAGGCAGGAAGCATGGAGGTTAGGGCTCGCTTGTGGCAGGAGAGATGCTGACCTTGGAAGTGGGTGACCATTCCCTTGACTCTTCTACTTGTCCAGCTCCCTCCCAGCAAAATTCAGCTGAAATATCACCTTCTCCAAGAGGTGTTCCCTAGTCATGGCAACTCTTGCTTCTCTAACTCCATTTGTACCACATCTGTTATTCTGCCATGATCCTCGACATCCATAGGGGAAGAGACTTTTGCAAATATCCAGGTTGGGAAAGACCACATAATTTCTCCTGTGAAATTTGAATGCAGAGCAGTTAGCTGCACACCAGTCTTGAAGCACATAGAATTCAGAGAATCATACATCAGAAGAATCATATATCCCTGCCCAAACCTTTGATGTAGCATTCTTGAGGGAATGAGATAATGCCTGTTGAGTCATATTATTCCAAGGGTCTGCGGTTCTGTCCTCCAGTTGTCCTGTTAGTCTTGTGTCCCTAAGTCAACTAGAGGTATTCTCTTCTTGACCCTAGAAGACTGTACCATGTACAGTGCTATGTGTTTACATAGTAGGTAGGCAATGAATGACCTGTAGGATGAATGTGAACTCTGTGAGGACAACAGGGGTGGTGATTGTCAAGTCCAGCACTGACTTGTGGGTACCAGGCACATAGAAATTATTTCAGACATAGATGTTGAAAGGCTGAGCACAATGACCTGGACACCTTTATTTGAGGGGTACAAGGTACCATTCATTTGGGTTTTGTTTGCTGGACTATGTATAGAAGAAAGGTCTGTTCACTTTGTTTACAGAATGAATCTTTAGTGCAAGGTCAAGGATTTTTAAAGATGATAGTGGAGGGCAGAAACCTGAGACAGAGCACAGTAGATTGGGTTCTCACAGGTTGGGAAATAATCTTCTGTGTTCACTCTCGAAAATGGGAAGTAGGAGACTCTAAGTGGAAATAAAGGTAACTATACTTTTGTCTCCTTCTTTTCTCCATTTTTATCCCTTAGATTCACCAAAATCACCAGTTGCTCCCAAGCCAGACTGCCAGTCCTCTCACATCAGTAACAGCACCCAAATTTCCTTCATGACCCCAGCCCGATAATCTTCACAGTCCTAACTCCATGTCTAAGGGGCCAAAACCCCTCATCGCCTCTAAACCCAGGCTGGCCATCCCCAGCAAGTGGATAGCCAGCATCTACTTGATCAACAGCTTGAACAAGTGCAGCAATGGGAAGTTGGTGTGCGTGGACAGGGGGCTTTATGAAAAGCACCTGTCCAACCCGGAGTGCTCTGAATCCGAGGGGTATGAAGATTACATTGTGGTCCCTGGGGCTCCCCCAAAAGAGGATGAACCCAGGGATGGGGGCCCTGCAGAGAATGCAGTCATGATGCCTCTGGATGCCACTGGGGAAGACAAGTGTCAGGAGGGAGGTGGGGAGTGTGACATACAGGGGGCAGGAGCCTCTGAGGACGTGGCAGCCCCAGCTGACGTGGTGCTGAGTGGAGAGGATGACGAAGCCCTCACTCCTGAGGACTATGTCCCTGACCTGGGTGTAGAGGAGCAGAATTTAGCAGGTGAGGAAGAAGTGCAGCTGGTAGAAGGACACAGCATCGACAGCCTGGTGGACAGGAGCCCCTGGGATGGAGAGGTGGTGCTCCTGAGCTATATCATCCTGACTCACATTGATCTAGAAGATCCGCCACCTCCTGGCGAGGAGCCCGGGCCCCCAGGGGCAGAAGAGGGTGGTGAGGAAGGCTGCACTCATGCAGAGCCAGGGGCACCAGACAAGCACGTGGATTCAGACGGGCCAGCCAAGGGGGATGTTGAAGATGCCAGAGAGGCCCCCCCCAGAGAATGACCGGATGGATTGGCTGTGGGAAAACTGGAGGCAGTGATGGGCACACACAGCCCTCAAATCTCCAAGGAGTGTGAAGATTCCACAGGTGGCGGCAACCACGGTGATGAGGATGAACCACCTGACTGATGTGAGAAAACCAGCCAAGAAGAAATGGCAGCCACCCTGGAGGCAGGAGGAGACCCCCGGGAAGGTGAAGACCCTGTGCAGGAGGAACCTGCCGAGGACAGTTGCCAGATCGTTCCTTTTGAGAATGAGTGTGTGGACGACTTTGTGACTTCACTGTCAGCAAGTCCCTATGAGTTCTTCCCAACCAAGAGCACCTCCTTCTGTAGCAAAAGCTACTCCCCCTTTCTGGAATCAGCAAAAGGCCTAGAGTCAGAGCATGAAGCACAGCCAGGAGAATGTGCAAAGCAGGCCACCGGGGCTGGGGCACAGCGTGGTCAGTGTGGCTCCCTGCAGGGTGGCACCAGGAAGGGCCCCTCTGTCCCTGGCATGGTCATGCTGGAGGGCAAGGATGCTGCTGACAACGCACTTGCCAGCCCCTATGAGATGGGAGTCAGCCTACTGTGTGGGGCTGACCCCGGGGAGGAAGAGAAGGCTGCCCAGGATGGTCATGGCACCAAAGAGGAGATGACCTTGGATGCTGAGGGTGGGCTGACTGCCATCGACAGGAAGAACATGATCCCAAGGGCCAGGCCCCACTCCAGGAAGATGGCAGGCTGTGTCCCGGAAACTGTCCCTGAAGGAACCGGGTCAGAAGCTGGCTTGTCAGCCATTTGCATTGGAGGTGCCACCAAGAAGCATGAAAGATGGTTCTGTCGTTGGAGGGGAAGCTGCTGGAAGCTGGCAGGGCCTTGCCAGCAAAGCCCAGAGCCTTCACTTTGTACCCTCGGTCATCCTCCATGGAAGGCCGAGAGATTCCAGTCTCCTTGTCCCGGGATCAGGACGCATCCAGCTTAGAGGACCGCAAGATCAAAAGGAGGGATGACAGCCTTTCACTGCCTGGTGTGATTGGCTCCTCCAGGAGCTTCTCCCACAGGAACCACCTCCCATCCAGTGGCACCTCCACACCATCTTCCGTGGTCGACATCCTGCCCCCTTTTGACCTGGCCTGCATCACCGAAAAGCCCATCATGAAGAGCTCCCCCTCCCTGCTGATGGAGAGCAAGCCCCTGCACAAGTACACCAAGAAGAAGTTGTCCTTTAAGCAGTTCCTGGCACTGACATTCAAAAAGAAGACAGAGAACAAAGTGCACGTGGATGTCAGCATGTCCTCTCCCAGGTCCTCTTCAGAATCCAGCTACCACAGGCCTTCCAGGCTTCTGGAAATTGACCGGAGGAGCCTCAGCAACTCGCCTCAGCTTCAGGCTCGGACTGGCAAGCTCCGGGCCTCTGAGTCACCCTCCTCCCTCATCTTCTACAGGGATGGCAAGAGGAAAGGCATCCCTTTCAGCAGGACAGTGTCCAGGGGGGAATCCTTCAAAGACCAATCCTGGCCCCCCTTTCTGCCCTTGCCTCTGACCAAGCCACGGTCCATCTCATTCCCCAACGCTGACACTTCGGACTACGAGGACATTCCAGCCATGAACTCGGACTATGAGAATATCCAGATTCCGCCCTGGAGGCCTTCGAGGGCTAGGACGTTTACAAAGCTGTTTGAAGAGCAGAGCAGAGCCCTGTCCATGGCCAATGAAAACAATGGCTACATGGACATGAGCCGCTTCAACGCCTTCGAGAGCAAACAGCAGAGTGCAGACCAGGATGCAGAAAGGTACTGTGAAGTTCTGTTTTCTTTGTTGTTGGGCAGGTGTAACTAACTATCTGAGTGGCAAGCTCAGGTGCAGGGGACAGAGTGGACTTGCTTTTCAACCTTACGCTCTATTCCTATCTAGCTGTGTGACTTGGGTGAGTGGCTTTACCTCCCAGAGCCTCAGTTACTGCATCTGTGAAGTGGGATTCGTGCTCCCTCACAGAGGGTTTGAGAAGATCCGAGTAGATAATTTCTGTAAAAGTGTTATCTAAAATGCCAAATGTGGTACAAATGTAAGCATTTGTGTGGGATTGATGGGGTTAATACATGATTCAAGTAATATAGAAATCAAATGTATAAGTACACATGACTTGATTGTTTTTCCCATACACTCTGTTGATGTGTAATCAAGGACAGAGTGATGAGAACCAAAGCAGTTCTCATGGCTCGGAGCCGCCTTCACACAGTTTTGGTATCCTTGAGAAGCGTCCCGTCCTTGGGCTAGACTCAAGGCCGGAGAATGATGTTTGAGTTCACTGCAAGTTCATTTGCTCAGTAAACATGAGGAGTGCCTTTTTGGCATTGCTCTTGCGCTGTTATGCCTTGAGTCCCTGGCTGGCCCTTTCAGATCTTCAATATCTCATCGGGTCTCCTCCCTTGTCTGCGACTCAGAAGCAGGGAGGGGACCGACAATTTGTATTTCCATTATTTAGGGAACATTTCTCATCTCCTAGGTAGATGGCTTTGCCACTCCCCTCTGGGAAAATCACCAAGAGAGAATGTTCTGGAACCTTGCCAAGCTAAATATCTTTCACCATCAGGAAAATACCCTAAATTGAGATTGATACCTTTTTATTGTGTAAACACACACTCTATTCAAGGGAATGAGAAGCAGGAATTTATTTAAATTGTTTGAAAACCTAAGGGTGCCCTGAGCTAAATTTCTGAATAGGGGTCTTCAGGAGGTGCACCCAAGCTGATTTTTTTTTTTTGGACTCATTCAGCCTGGTAATAGGAGCGGAACACTGAAATTACTGACAATAGCAGGGATTTTCTGACTCCACTGTCCCAAGACTGACTGAATGCCTCTATTGATCATCCCAAATGGATAATTACCAAATCTCCCTATTCCTTGTACGTTGTGGATGCATCTTAAAGGCAACACCATTCAGCCTCCACCACGGATGCTCTTTGGGGGCACCTGATCTGAACGAGTGAAAGCCAAACGGTGGTGATTTTAAAGGGTAGCCTGATTCTTTCCCCCATGTCAGCATCATCACCTACTCCCACACAGGCTGTTCCTCCTAAGAATTCCCAGGGCACCTGCAGTAATGGACAGAAAAGAATGATTTGCAATTAGCATTAGTGCTCCCTGGAATATAGGTGCTAAGAAGTGTTTGTATGGTTTATTCTCCTGAGTTTTTTTTACCTGGTTCTGCACCCTGGCTGCACTGCTCCCCGCTGAAAGGGCTGCAGCAAAGGTAAACACCAGCCCTGCTGGAGGGGTGAGTTTAATTTGGGGAACGTGGACATGTGCAGACTCTAAGGGGGTAAGAGCAATGCTGCTGACAGTTTATTGCATTAGTAGTTAGCAGCAGGGTTTGACAAGACCCAACCCTAGCTGGGCGCCTGCTAGCACTGATGGAAATGGAACCAGCTCCAAAACCAAACTCTCCAGGCTGGAAAGTACCTCCTCCAGCATATGGCCAAACTTCCCATCTCTAACACCTCCTGGGCTTGAATTCCTCAAGCCATGGGGAACTTACCACCTCCCACAGCTGCCTCGTCTGTTGCTAGGTATTCCGATGAAGTTTTTCCTTCCAACCCAGGCAAAAGCTGTCTCCCTGAAATATTCCTGCCCCTCTCACGCTGGCTCTTCCCTCTCAGTCAGGCTAGGGAGCTCATTTCCAGTTTTGAAGGACAACCCTTTAGAAATTGAAATCTGGTTCTGTAGAGTCACCAAATTTTATAGCAGGAAGGGAACTTTGACAACCTTGGATCCTGTTACAGAGGAGGAAATGGAGGCACAGAGAGGGAAAGGGACTTGCCTAAGGCTTCTCAAGGATTTAGTGGAGAAATCAGTGCTAGGACTCAGATTTCCTGACACCTGGTTTAGGCGTTTGCAGTGAATTACGCTGAGATGTCAGGTCTGCTTGTTTAGGCTGTGCACTGCACAGCCCCAGGGCCACACCCTCTTTCAGTCAAGCCCCTGTGCTGTTTGACCGTATGCAAAGGCCTGTTGCCTTGATCTGTACTTTGTCCAAAAAAACCAAAAGTACCTTTGTCCAAATTAACATGACAATAATGGAATAAAATACTCGAGAAAAATGCTAATGCTACCATATCTTGACTACTTACTGTGTGCCAGGCACTGGGCTAGTTCTTCCCTTATGTTACCTCTTGGACATCAAATAGTGAGCAAAGCTTTCTCTGTCTTTCTGCATGAAAGATGTGCAAGCAAATGGGGAGAAAAATCCCTGCTTTGGGCTGGAACAGGTCTGGGCAAGGGAGGTTTCAGACACATCAAGCTGAGCACTAAGGGACCTCCATGGGGCTGGCGACCCTACTGCTTCTTTGCCGGAATTGGGACTTGGAGAGTTAGGTGGCTTTAGGTTGGATGGGATGGAATAAGAGGATGGGAAGGCAGTTCTCTTTCCTCTTTCTGCTACTTGTCCTGCCCCACACCTTGCTTCACATGAGGCTCAGAGGCAGAAGCTAAAATAAACATCAACAGCCTTGAAATAGGGCAACAGGGCATGGGGAAACTTGGATTCAAAGCCCTCATGGTCACTGACTTGCTGTGGGGTCTTGGAAAAGGCTAGGACACAGTTTGCTCATCTGTAAAATGGTGAATTGGAGCAGATCTCTAGTTCTCAGTAGCAGTTTGCTTTTCCTGGACCACCTTTGCCATTTCTGTTTGACCACCTGTACTATCACTGTTTTCTTCAATGCAGTCCATCTTTTTTACTTAAAAAATATTTAGAAAAGAAATTTTATGTCACTGTTGGAAAGTGGAAAAAACACTCTCGGTTACCATAAATAGAAGGCAGTTGTACAAATAAGATACAGAGAAAAAAAGTAACCAGGGTAAATTCTCATTTGAGGTTATTATTTGCCAAGGCTGTGAGCTAGAAGCCTGAGCCCTTTGTTAAGCAGGGAGCTTAAAGACATCCTGGCACCATACAGAGGCCTTTTCGGTGTAATCAGGGTTCAAAAGGATTGAAAAGGGAATAACTCTTTCATGGTGTGATTCAGTGTTATTTAAATCCAAGTCCTTTTTCCACTCAAAGTACCTCCCTTCAAGAAACTGTATATAATAGAGTTCAGAGAGCCCTTAGAGACCCCTGAAGCAGAGCAGCAGCTCAGGGGGCTTGGTGGATAATGATAAAGGTTCTTCTATGAAGTTACTTCCTTTGAAAACTTTGCATACAGATAACAACATTTTAGGGGCTGCAATGATATTCTTATTGACAGTCTTCTATCTTATAAAATTGTACTCTTCTATCTTACATATACCTTTCCCATGGTATGCAGAAAAGGTTTTATCACTCTTTAGGTTAAAGGCTACCCCCAAAGCATTCTTTTTTTCTTAAATTGACTTTCATGCAAAAAACAAAAAAAAAAGGTGGAGAAATGTGGTCCAACCCTCTTACTTTTTTCAAGCAGGATGTTTTAGGTCCTCAGTCAGTACTCATGGTTGGGGGAACCTAGTCTTTACTTCTGAATATTCCATGATACCTCAGTATGTTTGTTATGCAGTAGGAGCTTAATAAATGCATGTTGCTGACCAGGGGTTTTATGATCCCATGCAAGCTGGTGGTTTTGAGCTTCACCAGGGGGCTGCATCTGTTTTCAGCAAGACAGTGCTAGGTGTTAGTATCCATTTACTAAATTCCCATTTGAAGTGAAACAGTGCACCATCTGGTTTGTCCTAAGATTCTCATTGAGATCCCCATAATTGTGTGGGGTGTTTTTTTTTTTGCATTATGATGAGTCTACTTTAATCACTCAGCACTATACACCAACACAGATCCCTGATGCCACTTATCCCCATCCCATTATGAAAATACCCAAACTAACAGGAAAGTTGAGTTGTTAGAGCAAATGTCCATATACCCACCACCTAGATTCACCATGAGTATGTTGCCCCACTGTTTTTGTTCTCATCTCTCTCTAGCATTCTCTCCAACCAGTAAGGCATATTGTTTTTGATGCCTTTTTGGTGGATTTTTATGTTCAGAGACAAGAACACTGCAGCCCAGGGAGAGCCTATGAGAGCGTGATGGCTGAGCACACAAGCTTTAGCCAAGCTGCCTGGGTTTTTAGGTTTTTAGACTGCACTCCACCACTTACTCTCTGTGTGACCTGGGACAAGTTACGTACCTCTTTGTGCCTCTGTTTCTCTACCTGCAAAGGGCAATGATAATAGTGCCTGCCTCATAATGTTTTTAAGGCCAAATGAGTTAATATAGCACATAGTGAAATCATCAGTAAGTCTTAGTTGTTATTAAGTGACATGATCAAGGTCACATAGCAATGGATGCAGAATTTGAATTTGATTCCAGAGGTGTCATGGACAATCTGGTCCTTTCACTGTGGGGGTCTCTCCCCTTCCTGTGACTGTTCTGCATGTGTTTTATTCAGTGTGCAGGACATCACATCAGCAAAACTGGGACCACAAACTTGCAAGCTTCAGCTGTTGAGGGTGGTGTCAGCGTTACCTCAAACTCCCGCATTGGGGTCACGGCTGCTGACAACAGGCTGAGTGAGACTGATTTGGAGTCATTCACAGCATCTTACACCAAAAACAGCAGTATCAGGAACTCTATGATTCTGTAACCATAGTAGGACAAATGCCTATCTCTGTGACCCAGACTATAGCTGTTATTTCTCTTATAATTCACAATTAGTTAGACATATGAGGAGTTTCCATGCCCCATTTTCCAGGTGAGAAAACTGAGACCCAGTGAAGTGAAATAAACTTTCCTCTGTCGCACAGGTAGTAAGTGGTCAAACTAAGA